ATGTTAGTTAGTTAGTTAGTTAGTTGGGTTATCATCATTGCACTCCGGACATGTCCATAGGTGCTCAGATCCTCCCCTCAGTATGAATCCCAACGTCCGATGGCTAATAGTACCAGTTCTATGTTGATTAACAAATCTTCTGACGTGTCCGGTGTGCGTCTCGTTTTTTGCTGTGCCGATCTTAATTCCCAAGTCTGCCATTCTGGCGAGTGATGTGGATTCACTGCCACCAAAGTCCTCTATCCTTCCCATTTCTCTGAGGGCAGTGATAATATCAGCATGATCCATAGGCCGACCGTCGGTAGTGATAGCGGATCCAGCCAGCCTGTCAGCTCTTTCATTTCCTTCGACGCCTGCGTGTCCCGGAACAAAAATAAAGGTGACTCCTCGCACAGTGGACTTCTGAATTGATTCAAGCCATTGTCTTCGCACTGAACCTGCCTGAACCCTCCGGATCATACTCATTGAATCACTGAGTATACATATGCGGGTGTATTTTTGTGTTTCAAGCCAGGCAAACGCTTGCGTCACTGCCATCACCTCCATCGTCATGCTGCTGGTTGTCATGGAGAAGGCGCCGTTGGCTTCTTTGACTGTTCTGCCCGCTGAGCGTGCTGTAAATGCCCATGCGCTTCTTCTTTGGCGTATAACGGATCCGTCTGTATAGATTAGTGCATCTGCTTCGTCTGAAAATGTTACACTTGAGAACCAAACAAAGCAGTCCAAACAACACACAAATGACCTTCAGAGAAAGAGGCAAATGGTTGACTGTTCACAAAAGGCCCCCACAAAGTGACATATCTAGTGAAAACACTTCCAACTGTGTGTAATTAAAAAAAAAAAAAAATCCAAATTTTTGCACAGGTTTGTTTAAATCACCAGATTTTTTCTTCCTGTCAAAACACAACAATCAAATGTGAATCCACATTTATTTGAATAGTAAATCCATTTCAGGCTGTATAGGAAAAAAAGAGTTTACAGTTTTATAAAATAACAAATATACAAAGAGCACAATAAAATTAATTAATGAACACAAAGTGAGAACAAGCGTTCTTACGTCCTGTGTCCACCACTGTGCTGGTTGACCTCTGCCTCTTCTACCAGCATTTGCATACCCTCCATTACTATTCTCTTCAAAACATTATGGAGTATTTCCAATATGGTGGTCCAAAGAACAAATTTAACTCTCTGAGTCCCAGTGGGTTTAGCATCACAGGCCCAAGGGGTAGAAAAGAGAGACATAAGATCAGCGCATCATGCGTTAATAGGCTTTTAGGTAGGAACCTATGATGCGTTTCTTGGGACTCAAAGAGTTAATGAGTGTGATATCATTTATTTAAAACACAAACAAAAAACTCAACTTCAGAAGCCAGTCCTATTTGCGATTCTAATATTTACAAATTGCAATAAGTTATTCAGTATGACTATCAACCCTCTCGCTCCGGGAATACACACAACCTTCTTCCTAAAGTCCCTGCCGTGTATGTTGGTAGTCATGTCTATCCACAACTTTCTGTCTCATATACTTTCAATCAACTCTGATACAGACAATCCTCCATGCTATGATGTCAAACTGTCCAGCATCTGTTCTCTAGGTCTTCTTCTGGCTCTCCTCCCCTCCAGCTTTCCTACTGTCACAATGCACTCCATTTTTCTCCTTCTCATCACATGATCAAAGAATGTAGATTGTATCTTCCTGATGTGGCCAATCAGTTCTTTCCTGAGTCAGTTTCACACAGCAACAAAAATGAGTTGCGACTCCATTGCAATTCCAGAAAAAGTATTTTAAACAACAGTTTTACACAGGTCAATAATAAATTCATTTAAATTTGTTTATCTCCATTTTTTTTTTCTCAAATGTATACAGATATATAAAAGGAATAATTAATAAACATGAAAAAAGTGAAGCACTAAATGGAATACATTCCCTGGGGTCTAAATAAAAAAAAAAACATATGTATCAGGTGACTCAGGCCATGAGCCCATGATCTCCATCACTGAGGCTTATGGGGAAACATTTTGCCGCCAACTTCGCTAGCTAAAAAAAAAAAAAGCCATTTGGCTCAAAGGAAAACCCTTCTTAATTGCCATTTCTGCTAAGGTATTCGTATACTGACCTCCTAAAGTCTTGCGTTGATGTATAGCATAATGCTATGTAATACAATAATAGCATTAACTATGCGTCTTGTGAACAGGTCACTATAGAACTGGACCACAGCGGGAGTGTCAGGGTTTAAAAGTATGTGGTTTGTGGTAGGCCTTTAAAATAAGAGGGGTCCACGAGTCTTAACTAAGTGGAACCATAGCATTTTGGTGCTGAATATGGCCAACTTATTTTAGTTTCTCAGAAATGATGCTATCTATGAGCTGTTCACCTCTATGTTCAGATCCTGAAGATCTTGGTCCATGATATACTAAAAGTTTGCCTGTAACATGTAAGTTCAAAAGCCCCAAATATCTTTTTAGTGAGTGATTCTGAAATTGTCTAAATTCGTGCCCTATATGTTGCAACAGGGAATGATGCATGTTCTAAGGATTTTTATAAACAGGCGACTAGAAAATCAAAATAAGCCTCTGGAAACATGGATATACAGAAGAACAGGTTGTATACCATGGAAACAAAAACAATCAAATACTGGCAGTTCTAGAGACTGCAGATTAAAAGAAAGTTGCTGAAAGAAATGAAAAAGAGATAACCTGAAATATTTTGGTCAGATTAAACAACATGACCTACATGTGTGAGTCATGGGCGATGACAACAGCTTACAGAAGCCGGTTTGAGGCCTCAGAAATGAGAGATCTGAGAAAGGTGGTCCGAGTGACAAGAAAGGACAAAGTTCGCAACCGGACAATACATCATGATCTTGAAATCCAGGCCTTACATACTCAAGTGGATTAGTCACTGATTGTTTGGACATGTATGCAGGACAGGAGAGAATCGATCACGATGGCAGGCATGGGAGGTCAAGAACCAAACCACCAGGGCAACCCAGGCAATCCGACAGTCCCTGACTGACAGAGGACTGGAATGGAACAAAGCCAGAAAGATAAATGCTGATAGAGAAGTCTGGTCATCTCTCTAGCAAACCTCTACACCAGTGGTTCTAGAGAAGTCTGGTGATCTCTCTGGCAAACCTCTACACCAGTGGTTCTCAACCTATGGGTTGTAACCCTTTTTTGGGTCAAACAACCCTTTCACATGGGTCGCCAAAGACCATAGCAAAATAATTATTCACTGAAGTTATGAAGAAGCAACAAAAATAGTTGTATGACTGGGGGTCTCCACAACATGAGGAGCTGTATTAAAGGGTCGCCACAACATGAGGAACTGTATTAAAGGGTCGCCACAACATGAGGAACTGTATTAAAGGGTCGCCACAACATGAGGAACTGTATTAAAGGGTCGCCACAACAAGAGGAACTGTATTAAAGGGTCGCCACAACATGAGGAACTGTATTAAAGGGTCGCCACAACATGAGGAACTGTATTAAAGGGTCACCACAACATCAGGAACTGTATTAAAGGGTCGCCACAACATGAGGAACTGTATTAAAGGGTCGCCACAACATGAGGAACTGTATTAAAGGGTCGCCACAACATGAGGAACTGTATTAAAGGGTCACCACAACATGAGGAACTGTATTAAAGGGTCGCCACAACATGAGGAACTGTATTAAAGGGTCGCCACAACATGAGGAACTGTATTAAAGGGTCGCCACAACATGAGGAACTGTATTAAAGGGTCGCCACAACATGAGGAACTGTATTAAAGGGTCGCCACAACAAGAGGAACTGTATTAAAGGGTCGCCACAACATGAGGAACTGTATTAAAGGGTCGCAACAACATGAGGAACTGTATTAAAGGGTCACCACAACATGAGGAACTGTATTAAAGGGTCGCCACAACATGAGGAACTGTATTAAAGGGTCGCCACAACATGAGGAACTGTATTAAAGGGTCGCCACAACATGAGGAACTGTATTAAAGGGTCACCACAACATGAGGAACTGTATTAAAGGGTCACCACAACATGAGGAACTGTATTAAAGGGTAACAGCGTTAGAAAGGTTGAGAACCACCGCTCTACACCCCGAGGAGAAGAGGATCGACTAAATAAGTAAGTAAAAGACATAACACTCTTTTAAAAACCATAATGGAGGGAAAAAGGTTGAGAGCAAGATGTAGATGGCAATACAAATTGGAGAACAACATCAGAGATGGGTGAACAGCAGTCTGAGAGAGTGCACAACCAAGAAAAGAGACAGAGTGTGGTGAAGTTCCATTGCAGCCAACTTTCATTGTGGAGGCGGTCCTAGATTGATTAAGAATTGTTGCTTTCAGGTGTCTGCTAATTTTGCTCCATACACTCTTCACGTTATTTAAGTTGTTTGATTATCCTCACAGCCCTCTGTGAACGTGCCCTCTGTACAAAGGTGCACAGTTTCTCCTTCAACATATCCATCAGCGTCCTGCGGTTGACAGTGCCAGTCTTATTCTGGTTTACAAGATTTCGCGTACATCCAATGTGTCATGTCATTTAACCTCTGTACTGCAAGTCAAGAAACTATAAGAAACTTCAAGATACTCTTGTGTGCAATGTCAACAGTTTCAATCATTAAAATTAAAGATTCTAAATGTCCACATTATATCAAAATTATGTTCCTTTCAATAGGTATGCAGTTTTTTTTTTAAAAGCGTCACTGGATAACTAAGAAAGCGGTCGTGGTCTAGCTGCTAGATGCTCGTCTACGGATTGAAAGGTCATGGGTTCAGCTCCAGAAAAGGGCCAGATTTTTTCTTCAAAAATGGCCGTGGATCCCAAGCTGAGCCGGTCTGGATTGGGTACCGGATAACTAAGGGTCTTCGTATTCTTTTTGTCTACATAATATTTGTATGGAACCGTTGACTGATGCCCAATTCCCAGACTACCTCCTGTCTATCAATCTTCAAACAAATGTATTCAGTGTTTCTCACAGTGTGAAACCAGCAGGCAAACATCACTGGATAATGTGCTCCAGCACACCTTGTCTGATCAGATGCTCACACTCGGATCGCAGCAGGTAATGCTGTGGAGAGAGGAAAGACTGCTAGACTGAGCCAATACATCTTTATGTTGTAACTTGAATAGGTGTTTGAAGGTTTGCACCAGGCTTTATCCCAAATGTAGTAAATGAAGGACCCTTTTCCACACCTCTAGGCGTCAAGGGCAAATAGACCTATATTTTTATAGACCAATTGGCACAAGTTGGGTGATGTGGTCAGCATCACGTTGGCCGCCTTTACTTCCCAGGACTGCACCTAGTACCCACTCAAAGCTGGGTTTACCTGGGAGCCAAGGTCTTTTTTGAAAAAAGTCCGGCTTCCGCCAGGGAGCAAACCCATAACCTTCCAATCCACAGGCAAGTGTCTAGCCGCTACCCCACGGCAACTCCCTTATCCCATATGGCTGTTTATTTGCCCACAGTACCTGTTTGCCTGTTAACAGCACTGTGCTGTATAAAACTCTGTTAGCCCCACCAATGATACATGAGATCTACAAAATTAAATATTCCTGAACAGAAGCTAGAGTCTGAGTATCTTCTTCTAAGCAGGCAACAGCTAAAAACTAGCCAAAAGTTCTGGCTGTTTGCCCACTTCTAGACTTTGCTCTTGTTCCAGAACTTGAGTTTTGTGTGAACATAAGTTTCAAAGACCTGGTTAATTTGTGTGCAGACTGTTGGTTCCTCACCTCTCCAGCAGATTACACTATGACTTTGAAGGCAACATGCCTAATTAGTCACCTTTTAGGACATGCTTGGTGGAAGAGGTGCAGAATGTCTAATTCCCCCCCTCCCCCCCCCCCCCCCCCACATTAGGTCCCAGAACCCATACAATGAGAGTAGATATTATCTTCTTCACTAGTTGTAAGCTCCAGCGGAAAGTCCTGGTTGCTCATCCATTTGGACTCTGGCTTTGTGCCAATGCCTGAGTTTTGCCTGTGTCTCTTCTAGTTACATTCAGGATTTTCATAGCCACTTCACTTCTGTTGTTTTGTCTTGTTCCTTTTGTTGTTAATGTCCATGTTTGGCTCTGGTAACAATAGGGCACTGAATAGTGCTCCATCAGCCGCTTTAACAATACAGAATAATTTGTTTAAACCTTGCAAAAACATACAACTAGTTGGTCTTGCCTTAAAGCTGTCAAACAAATGAGCATCAGAACCTATCATAGATGATCTCTACACTAAAACGTATGGTACTTTCTTAATATCCTACCCCAAACAGGGGCTGCATGTGGTTGTGGGACCTGGGCTGCACTCTCTCGTGGGACGTAGGTGACTTTGGGTTAGGGCCAGTTCTAGGTGTTTTGGGGTCGTTAAAAGCATCAGAAAGCCGGGAAAACCCAGTCATACCACCCTCTAAAATGTTTGGACTGTCCTGTGACTTCATCTGGGGGGAGGGGGGGAGGGGGGGGTAGGATATTACGAAAGAACCAAAATTATTATGCTAAGAATGAAGACTGTTTAGAAAGATTTTTAAAAAACCGAACCTGGCTGTTTTTCTTGAACAAAACCGTGTTCCCATCCTGAGTTTCAAATTCTCCATGATCAGCTATACACCGTACCTGAGGAACAGACAGACATTTCCTGGGTAAAGCCGAGCTGACAACAGAAAAGCATATTTTTAAAAGTTAAATACGTTGCTTTATTGGAGAAGCAGCTGGCCAAGTAGTTAGAACATTGAGCTCTCATGCAGAAGACCCGGGATTGGATCCTTGGTAAAGGATGGAGATGCTTTCTGTTGGAGGAGTGTAGAGTCCTAACTAGGCAGTTTCAAGTCTTTGGGCTCACAAGCCCTCACCCCCTCCTTACAACATCCAAAAATTGGTAATTACAGGCAGGGAAAAAATTCACCTGTTCTTGCATGTCAACTCATTATCATCATGTGCCATGGCGGTAAGTGTAGACTCATGTTTTGCCATCTCACACGATCACCAGAAACATGAATCAGTTCAATTTCACCCTTTCCATCTGTCCAGACCATCCAGGTATTTATCTCTCTGCCTTCCACTTGCTCTCTTTCCATCAATCCTGCCAGTTGTTACTGAGTTCTTGAGTCCATTCCTTCTGACAATATGTCCGAAAACTATTGACTGTATATGTCTAACGGTTCTAATAAGTTTGCGACTTTCATCTGTCTCAAAGAGGACTGCTTCATTTGTTTTTCTGTTGCCCTTTCCTCCATGAATAGACTGAAAGGGTATAGTTCATCACCCAGCTACAGAGTTGGCGCTTTGAGTGCATGGTGACACTGTGGGCTGCACATTTAATTTGGAATGCTTTTTAGCTGTGACCAAAGTGTTTGTGTTGTGATCTGCAGACTAAGAAAATGCTGACCAGCCTGTTGCCAGAAATAATTGGTGGTGCCTTATGCGATTAACTGCACTGCATGTGCAACTGCTGATTCTATCAAAGATAACTGCATTTATAGTGTCAGAATGTTTGTGTTGGCACTTCAGATGGCAGCATTATGAATTTAATGCATGTGTTTGCTATTGGCTTTGTTTATATTGCCGTTATATTTTTTGCAATGGACAATGATAGACACTCTGTGTGGTTTATGTTGGCACAGGAATGGAGCAACTATGGGTTGACCCGTTTGCTAGGAAGTTGGAACTGTGATTACCTGACCTATGACCCCTTGGCCAGAAGGCAAACATGCTAGTCACTGCGTATCCTCATTAGTGGGGTTGGGAAGAGTAAGAACCGACAACACAGCACTTGGGACATTCCCATAAACGCTCCCTCCCTATCTTTAGCAGCCAGCGTTGAGCTCCAATTTAAACAGTGCCACAAGCAGTCTCTTTGTCTTGCATATCCTCTGAGCATATCCTCAGAGTGTCGAGTGTCAGCCAGATCTTCTGGTCACTCTCTGCTGCATCACTTGTTTTTCCCAGACCATTAATCCTGAGTGGTGGGTCATAATAAAGCTCTATACGGGGTTATCAAGAATGACTGCCAGGATTTAAAACTGTTATTATAACAAAAGCATTTAATCGATATACACATGTGACTACTTAAAATGTTCAGAAAAGTTTAAATTTTTGTGTGGCCTTGTTCCCAAAATGCTGCTGAGATAATAAGAAACACCCCGCACCTTAAATCAGACAGTCGCTGAAGCAATCACAACTGTAAGCCTAGACACCATTCAGATGAGAGCATACTGAACAGATGTAGGCAACCGTCAGTCACAGCAGACCACAGAGTTGTGCCACTACTTTTGAGAACAGCGTATGCTATGACTGTAAAGTCCAAAGCGGCAGTGGCAGCATCTACCACACAGTCCACACAAAAAATGTTGATACTCTTTCTTTCTGAGGATGGTTTTCTCTCAGATGTCTTCTCTCTATAGCTTGTGGTGTTTGGCATTTTGAACTGAATTGAAAACCCTCCAGACATCACCAGAGCTATAAACAGCCCCCATATCAAATTGTACTAAGGTAGGTCTAGAACTTTAAACTTTTCTGAACATTTTAAGCCACACATGTACATCCATTGAATCCTTTTTTTTAAATTATAACAGTTTAAAATCCCCGCAATTCTTCTGGATGATCTATATTAACAAATATTATTGCAAAAAGCTCATACTGACCAGCACATACAAGGTTTTTGGTGGCTTCATATCTTGGGTGAGGTCTAGCCCCCCACTTTCTCCAACAGACCTCATGTAGTTTGCCAACAACCTATTGTACTGATTAAACCACTGAACCTATTGCAGGAATAAAAGATACAATTGAAACTCTCATCTTATCAACAGATGCTTCTGTGTGTGCCCTTTTTGTGTTGTGGTTTACAGCTAGGCTGTGACATCTGCACCTTTTGACCCAACACATCAGATTTCAGCATACCCTTATAAGTCATCTTTTACCATACGTTTGATAAGGAGCAGTGGATCTGTTACTCCCCCCCCCCCCCCCCCCCACCCCTCCAACAAAAAATTTGGGGCACTGGAACCAACATGGAGAACAAACAGAGAGCAAAACGGGTAAAAAGTATATAAAAAAAATCATACACATAAACTTCCTACTTATTCTCTCTTCCTCCTCCACCAAATTGGCCAATGGGGAAGCCAGACTAATTCAGTATGCTCTGACCGGACGTAAACATTCTTTATTAATTTGTTCATTCTTAATTACCATCTATCAATCTCTATCCTCCTTCCTCTCTTTTATCAACCATTCAGGTGCAGTCTCCACAGTGAAAGTTGGCTGCAACGGATCTCCAACATGCTCTGTCTCTTGTCCTGGTTGTACACTCTCTCTCTGACCGCTGTTTGTCCATCTCTTGATGTTGTCCTCCCATTTGATCGTTGTCTGCTCCTTGCTCTCTTGCCCTTGACTTTTCCCTCTAGCATGGTTTTCAAAAGAGTGTTATTTCTTTCAACCCACTGACTGCCCAGGTAACATGTTATGTGATAGGGTGATGTTTACTTCTTGCTGCCAATGTCGCACCCTTTATGATGGTAGCTCTAGACGCTCGCGGTCATGTTAAAATAGCGATTTTTGTGATAAATGTAGTTCATTTCTCTATATTAATTAAGGGAAACAACTTCGTAGTGCTTATTCTAAAGATTTGATGAATTTTCATTGTCAGCTTCCATGTCTGTGACAACGGACACAATTTTCGTCATGGCGTCAAATTATCGAGGCGATAGGGTGGTAATTTTTATCATTTTTCTGTTGCTGCGCTGATTTTCTTGATTTGATTTTCTTTGGAAAGTGAAGGTGAAGATATTATTGAACAGTTTGATGACTCTGGCTTTGATAAATCTATTGAAGTGCCACGAAAAACATCATTGACAGTAAAACATTGGCATGTCCTTGGCTCCCAGGTCGACCCAGCCTTTAGTGGGTACCAAGTACAGTCCTGGGAGATCCTGACCACATCACCCACCAAGTATTGATTGGTCTATAAAATATAGGTCTAGCCCTATATACCCAATACGCCTAAAAGGCGTGGAAAAGGGTCCTTTTCCTACTTTACTGTTATAAACAAAGCTTATCCACCACACACACCCTTGCAGTCAATTGCACAAAAAGAATACAAACACCCTACCTCCTGTTCACACATATTGTACTTCACATCTGGCGGTAGAACACTTCCAAACTCCCAGCGCATCTTCCGTATCTGCTCCAGTCTTGTATACCTTGAGAAAAGAAAAAGTGTTGTCAAAATGTCTTCCAAAATGTAAAAACTTTATGAATCAGGAGCACTAACTCTGGACAGCATAGACAATGTAAAAGCCTGACAACAATATAATTTGAATATCCTTGCAGTGGAACCCAGGGTCAAAGGGAAAATAGCAGACAAAAATTAAAAAAACACGGAAAAGAGAATTAGTGAAGAGGTGAAAAAGATAAAGAGGACATGGCAGGAGCTGTGAATGATAGCAAAGGACAGACTGACTAGACCAGTGTTTCTCCAACGTGCTGCAATTTGATTGTTAAGGGGTTTAATATTTTAATATTAAGAATTACGTATATGTTACACAAGGGACATAGGAATTTTCGAAAGGCTTATGTGAGGCATGGCACAGAAAAGATTGGGAAACACTGGACGAGACACAAGTTGGTTGAGGGGTTATGCTCCATTGGGAGATAAAAAAGGGAGCGGGAGGCGGGGGAAGAGGAAGAAGAGGAAATAGGAAGAAGATATATCTGTATTTAAGTGTGTGTTTTTTTTAAAACTATTCATGAACACTTCAATAAAATCTGTTTCTATGCTGTCTAAATCCAGGCTAACATTCATCACTTGCAAAGATCTGTCTTCTATATTTACCACACACAAAAGTTAACCATACAAAAAAACACACAGTGCTTACAGATATGCCAGTAAACATCTCTTGTTCCTCTGAATGCCAGCATGCCGAACTTGTATGGCAGAAATTAGGTCAGTCTGGCCTTCTGCAGCAAACTGCCTGTAGATGAGAAACTTGTGTGTCAGTAATTAAACAGCCCTTATCACGCCACTGATATACTGGCCTCAGAGTGGTAGACCCATATTTTTATAAAATAATCGGCACTTGATGGGTAATGTGGTTAACATCAAGCTGGTTGCCTTTACTTCCCAGGAAAACACACAGTACCTATTTTGGGTGTGGCAAGCTTGAGGGCCAAGGTAAAAAGTTAAGGTCCCTTTTCCTCGCCTTTATGCGTATTGGGAATTCTTCTTCTTCTTTCGTTCGCATGAAATAAATTGTCTATATCTGCAAAGCCGTCTCTTGTATGAATTTCACTGTCTTTTGTAATTCACTAAGCGGCCCGTAAAGTTTGACTTCCACAAGTGTCTCTTTTGGCCAAATGTTTTGCCTGAAAGCGTTGAATATGGGACAGTCTTGAAGGATGTGATCTGTTGTTTTAGGTGCCAGTCCACAAGTACACATGGCCGATTGGCCAATCTTAAATTTGTTGTACATGTGGGAGCGAAGTCTATTGTGCCCTGTGCTAAGGCGAAGGATAATAACTTGCGTATTGGGAATATAGGGCAAGACCTTTATTTTTATAGACCAGTCGGCATTTGGCGAATGATGTGGTCAGCATCACGTCGACCGCCTTTACGTCCAAGGAATGCACCTCATACCCACTCAAGGCTGGGTCAACCTGGGAGTCAAGGTCATTTTTGAAAAACAAGTCCGGCTCCGTCAGAATACGAACCCACCACCTTCTGATCCGCAGTCGGGCGTCTATCCACGGTGACTCCCTTGAGAGTCGAGGTATTTTTTTTTTTTAAATCTGCCCTCAAACAGATTTGAACCTAAACCTTTTTAGCAAGCAGGGAGCATCTAGTCACTGTGCTACCATGGCTCTTGAGAAATATATTAAAAATAAAATCAGTTAAACAATGAAAAAAGATTTCACTTTTTCAAATCTACAAAATCTAAATAAGACATCTAGTTGAAAGAAAAAAGGAAAAATTAATCGCACTGTTATGTTACTATGTTATGTTATTTTGTTCAACATCACTGCAAACTGGTCACTCCCATGCATGTTCAGTCCTCATGTGCAGCAGGTATCCTAAGGCATCTTTATTACCTGTTCCTTTACAAAGTTAATTATAATACCTATAATGACTTCAAAGAGAGCACAGGCGTGCTTCGTCAGGTTTCACTCGTGTTAGAAACGTATCCCTATTTCCTAGACTAGTCCATATATTGTTGATTATATTCTGCCTATGCTTCTTTCCGCTTGTATTAGTAATTTTTTTAATTTAAAAATAAAAAAATTTAAAACAGCCATTACTGCCTGAGAGAGTCGCTGTAGCGTAGTGGCTAAAACTCGCTGCGGATCATAAAGTTGTGGGTTTGCAATCTGGCAGAGCCGGACTTTTTAAAAAATGACCTTGGCTCCCAGGTCGACTCAGTCTTGAGTGGGTACCAGGTGCAGTCCTGGGAAGTAATGGTGGCCGGCGTGATGCTGACCACATCACCCATCTTGTGCCGATTGGTCTATAAAATTATAGGTCTAGCCCTATATGCCCTATAGCCTAAAGGCATGGAAAAGGGGTCATTTACTTTACATTACTGCCTGTATTTACCACTACTGCAATGTCGGCAAAATTAGTAACCATGGAAATGAGATGTCTGAGAAGGGCTGTAGGAGTGACCATAAGAGATAAGATCAGGAATGAGATCATAAGAGAAAAAGTCAGCACAGAACCAATTCTAAATTACATACAAAGACAGCAAGTGAAATGGTTTGCCCACTTAGAGAGAATGCCTTGTGACACCATACCATACAAAGCATACATGGAAAGAGAAGAATGACGTAGAGCAAGAACAAGATGGAAGGATAACATCAGAGAAACTCTACAACAGCACGATGTGCCTATGGTCAAGGCGTCCAGAAGAGCTAGAAACAGAACCTTATATCTCCCTCGACACCCACAGCGGTAAATGCGGAAGTGAAGAAGAAGAAGAAGAAGCAGTGTCGGCAGGAGGGTCTTTGAGGTTCAGGATTTGGAGCTGCATGGTTAGTGCTGTCTCCATGGACTTTGCAGGTTAGGATTATATTCTTGCCCCAGACAGGACAAAATCCACCACCTACCTTACAGAGAATTAAAACCTGGATCACCCACATAAGATTGTTGAATGTTGTTGAATGTGGAATTAGGAATTGACATCACAGCACTTGGGACACTCCCACAAGTGCTCAGTCTCCATCTTCAGCAGCATGTGAAGAGTTCCGATTCTGATGGCACCCTGGTAACTCCTCGCAGTGCCATTCTCCTTAGACCGTAACGATCTATCTGCACCTCCACACCGTTCACTCGCTCCCAAAGGGCCCTCACAAAATCTATTTTTCATACATCAATTCACCACCAAGGGGTGCAGAACCAGCCAGTCTATCTACCTGCTCATTTCCCAACACACCCACATCAGAGTCACTCATTATTTCCCTACTTGCCAGTAATATACTATAATTGCAATGACTCTGCTCTTTTCTCTAATCTGGCTCCAGTCACTGCAGACTCCTATTTCACACACCGCCTCAACACGACGAGCAGAAAATGGACGACTGCAAACAACACAAGACTGTTTCTGCACTTTATTCTTCTACTCGCTTTCCTTCAGCTGGAACATGAAATAGAACAATGTCTCGGGCATACACTGTAACTCAAACCCTCAATAATATTTATCGACTTAACCTTTTAGCCGAAATTACAATCCCCCTTACACAATCACGATGAAACAAAACAACTGCTTTTCTGGCGGTGACTAACGCAGCTGGCAGACGACTTTCCGTCTGTCCTTGCTGTTGGCCAGGTTGTGCATTAAGGTTACATTCATACTCAGACACATTCTGGAACCACAAACATTCCTCTGTAGTTCACGCACTCCGTACCTTGACCCAAACGAGACTGCCCACATGATCTCTCTGAGGCATTACATAACCTTCTCACCCCCTCTCATCATTACAACTTCTGCGCGTTCTCTGATTTACATGGATTTCATTTGGCCACCATTTCTCTGAGATTCGCATGAGTTTCATTTGGCCAGCATTTCTCCGTGTGATTCACGTCGCTGTCCTAGTTACACTCAAATATTCCATTCACATTTATTAGCTGACGTCATTCCATCTGGGACATAAATTATCGAGGAGAAAATGGGTTCACTACAATAATCATAACCTGCAAGCTTCCTGGGGAAGAACTGATAATTGTAAATCAATTTTATAGTATCTGTCCAAAAAAAAAGGTTACAATACTCACGCGCCATCTTTGTTCTGGTCATACAGTGTTTGCATTTCTTCCAAAACTTGCCGTATTTTGTCCTCCTGAAAAGAACATAAAGGTATAAAAATGTCTGCATAATGTTCAAAACTTCATAATGTCTTGTTGTATTATCTTGATTACTTGTGTTGCTGTACACATTTCTGAATAAGCACAAGACAAAATAATGCAACTAATAACAATTCAGAAGTTACAATTCAGAAGTTACTCATGGTTTCTTCTAATTCTTTATATTCACCGGCTGTAAACTCCGGTGAAAAGTTCTGGGTGTTTATCCACTTCTGGACTTTACGTCTTGTTCCAGAAACTGAGTGCTGCGTGCACATCTGTTTCACACATCTGGCTTGTTTGTATTCTTTGTAATCTTAGTTTCAGTTTCATAGCAAACAAGTCACCCCATAGTTGCTCCACTCCGGTGCCAACGAAAAACACACAGAATGTTTATCCCAGTCCCTTGTGAAAAGATTGACAGACTGTTGTCTCAGCATTTGCACTAGCATACACACGCATTAAAGCATATGGTAGCCATCAGAAGTACTAACACAAACAGTTTGACATTAGAAATGCATTTCATCATCGACGGTAGCAGAAGTCGCCAACAGATCAGCAGTTGCACACGCGATCAATATTAATCACATAAGGGCACCGCCAATATTGCGACGACAGGCCACGCGCCATGTTGGTCCCAGTCGAGAAACATTCCAAATTGAAATCAGCAGCTCACAGGGTCGCGCCATGCACTCAACTCAGTAGCTGGTGGGACGAAACTTTATCCTTTCAGTCTACAAATGGATCAAAAATGCAACGGCCACCGCCTGGCAGAAGCAAAAAATCTGCCTCAACGCAAAACAGTAACCGCGCCTGCTGTCCATTTTGATCAGAGTTTTGTTTGACTAGGCTTGTTTGTATGCCACCTCTTAGTTCCTTGCCTTTCAGGCAGATGTACTCAGACTTCAAAAGATGCCCCCAATTAGTTGACTCTTACAACATGCTTGTTGGGGAGGCAGTGGCTCTATTCTTGTTTTCCCCACGATGGGCAGCAGAACCCACACTCACGGTCTGAACTAATATTTATTTACGAAAACTTTAACAGTTTGCTCATCAAGAATCATTTCTTTGGTTTCAATAAAAGTAATAATCACTGGCACTGAAGGAGGGAGAATGGGGGTAGGGAGGGCAACTCTCCAGCTTCTTTGAATTCTGGCATTCGTTTTCATATACCTAGGGATTTTCCTAGAAAAACAGGAATTTGTACTCACTGTAGAGGGTCTAAAAAGAAAAAAGGTGTAGGCACTCAACATAAAGTGTATATTATAGTAGCATTGAGAAATATGCTTTAAGAAAATGTGCCGCTACTGTGTATCATGAGGAAAGGGTGAAGAGATTCTCACATATACCACTTCTTGACTTCTACAGCAGTGTGTGTCAACTGTCTTGACTAAATTCAGATATTCGATTAAAACGTTGAAAATGTGCAACCTCTTCTGAAGATTTTACCAGAATAATCCAAACAAACATGAACAAGTCTATTAGGAGTGAACTGACTGACAGCATAAATGTTGAGATATAGTTAGGAGGAAGAGCGGTGGAGGAGGAAGAAGATGAGGCATCATGAGGAGGTGGGAATAAAAGAAGGAGAAAAACAATCTCTACCCTTACTTATGAGGGCAATAATTTACTGCACATAAAGGCCCTAAAGATTTGAGGTGGTAATTCCCATTTTGTCGCGTTTATCAAGTAAGCTTTTTAAATAGTTAAACAGATATGTATTAAAGACATACTGTTTATACTATAGATTCAGTAAGACAACAAGGTCTTTATTAAGGTACGAAGTTCAAATCCAATGGGTCTCTAGCTCTCATTTTTATTCTGTTGTCCAGTGTGACCTCAGACACCGACTTATATTCGATTACTTTGAATTCTATTTGTGTCCGATGTCATGCAACATCGGATGATAAGTTGAGAAGAAGAATAAAATTAAAATTCTGGGCCATCATCCAAATAACGGTCCCAAATTATCAAGGCCGAAAATATACTCCAACAGGGCCTCAGTCACATGTAAATTGCGGACCTCTTCCGGTGACTATACCGCAACCGCCGAGAGTATCTCCTGCGCTGCAGAGTGGGGCTTAACTAGATGGCTGGGACTCACAAGCAAATAAAATGGAGGAAGCTGCATGAGATGCAGTAGCTGCTGCTTATGAGTCATAGCCTAGCGACTACCGTGTTCGGCAATTTGAGGTCTTTTCGGCAATTTCCGTTACCCGGAAGACCGTTCGAAACTTGTTCGGGAAATCTCAGCTGGTTTCCGGATGGGTCCAAATCTCTCATGAAATTTCGCGATTGGTGGGAATTCGGACTAGCTATAAATAGCTGAAAACGGCAGAAACAAACCCGATTACAAGCACAAGTTTACGACAGCCTGAATTGCTCTGTTTTTCTGTTACATCAGTTTGATTGAAAATTCGGTTAGTATTCAAAGTTGGTGTTAGGCTTTAGCTGTTACTAGACATGGTAATGCTAGTTATAATTGAATTCTCCATCCAATTTTACATTTGCATATAAAATTTCTTTCTTATCAGTGGCTTTTTAGATTTACAGTGACATTTTTCAGGCAATCGCTATGACTACACGCTCTAATCTCCAATGTAAACAAAGCCAAAACGAAAGTGTGCAGTTTGGTTGCGCAGAGAAAACTTCTTGTTTCTGTGACGCAAGTTTTAACAGCTGTTTTTTACATCTCATCTCCACAAAAAACTACAGCTCAGAAATGACATGCAAGCCTAAATAAGGTACCGTTGGAGAGAGATTGTTTACAGCTATCTAACTGTGCTGGTTTATTGGTGTAGAGGGCATTTTGAAAATTTGACTAAAGTAGCCATCTAGTTTACTCTTGAGATACTCTCGACAGTGACTTTAACTCGCGGAAGCTTTTTCGCGGTATGCTGTGTAGTCGCCGGAAGAGGTCCGAAATTTACACGTGACTGAGGCCCTGTTAGGGTATATTTTCGGCCTCGATAATTTGTAACCGTTATTCGGAGGATAGCCCAATTCTGAATTCCAAACTCAAACATTTGATTTGTCACTCAAACTTACTAAACTGTACTTACATTATATGGGGACAATGTTCCACCCAGTGACCTGTGCAGTTCGCGCACCAAGTCTAGTGCTTTTTCTGCAAGCATTGTTTCTCTGAATAAAATTGAGACTGTCTTTCAACAACAACAAATCATACAGAGTTAACCAATTTAATAATTGTGACTGCTATAGTTTTCGCGCCATCTTGACGGTTTCAGGGGAATCTACTCTAGAATTTTCAACATCATCAATATCCAGTTTATTCGTAAGCGGTCAAATCAAATCAAATCAAATCGTAAGCGGTCAGTTAAATGTTAAAGGTCAATGTCGAGAGGACCGACTTCATTGCACTGGGCTTTATCTCATATGGCTCGGTCTCTCTCCGCAAAGCGGCTAGCCACCTACCGAGAGTGCTACACAGAACACGAACTTCGTAGCTCCGGCGACGATCCACAGGGATCTCCGCACAAATTTCACTCTTGACTTGAGGGGCGCAGCCGTGAAGCGAACCCACGAGCTTCAGAGTGTGAGGCAAATGACTTTACCACTTGGCCATGGAGACCCCCCCCCCCCCCCCCCCCCCCAGTTGTCAGTTATAGGATAAAAACGAAAACTTGACTACATTTAGCTTTACATCTACTGTATCCTAGTGAGGGTTTACATTGCTGGAGGTACGGGCAGTCCAGATATCTAGCTCCGCGTGCACCGGAACAGTTTGCACAGTTTCTGTTGGGTCTTCTGCAATCCTTGTCGATTTTGGTCAATGGGCACTCGTGAATGAGCTTGTGAGCAATATCTGCAGACCGACAAGTGGCTTTGATGTCAAAAGTCTTCTGACATCTTGGACACTGCTGCAACTCGGCGATATACTCCTCAGTTTTCTTTTGTTTGCTTGTATCATGATGTCATGGTGGTATCATGTCGGCGATCTCCATCGGTTGTCACGACAGACACAGTGAACGCTCTGTTTCTGGAAACAAAGCTGCTCTGCTTTCAGGATTCTGGTTTCACGCTGCATATGCTTCATAATGTGTTGGTTGGTGAGTTGTGGTTTCACTCGCTTTACAGTCCGTTTCCGTTCACATGGGTGATCTTGTTTGTTTTGTTTTTTTAGTATCCAGAAGCCATGAGTTGTTAACCCTTAGGCTCGGTATTATGGATATCGAAACCTTTCGGCCTTGATTCCATTGTAAATAACGTAAATCTGGGAGAAATGTGGCTTTTCTGCCTACCCACAGGAGTGAACCCAGACCACAAGGAGTTCATCACCCGGTCACCGCGCAATCCCGTTTAGCCGACTATGCTAGAGAGCCGGGCTGCGGTGGTCTTGTTTAAAAGTTGTATAATAATTTCGCGGTTTCCTGTATCTTAGTAACTAAATGACCCGTCATTTCAGTTTGACTGAGGGTCTCTGTCACGCAGGCTTTCATTTTCTGGACTCGGGCAACACTGTATCTTTCGAACAGCGTCTTTAGTTAGGCTTGTTAGTATGCTAGCACTGTTATTGATGTTAGCCTAGCCTTTCTTGTGTTCTTGACACGTAGATATTCTCGTCTGCAAGTTTGTCCACTGGCGTGGCAATGACTTCTGGTTGGTGGCAACGTGTTTGGTGTCGGTTTTGGCTTTCTGCTTCTCTCCCACATTGCGCATGGCATGTCGCTTCACAAGCCGACTTGGACTATCCTGCTCGATAAGACAGAGCGATTCACTGATAACTGACTTGACTTGACTTTCTACCCCACTAGGACATCACACAAGCGATAAACACCCGATGACACAAAGTGCCACCATGTGGATGAGGATCACCGTGGAGAGGTCCCAGAAACCGCGTTAAGACAATTGGCCATATTTATGGCCTGCCTATATTGCGGCCTCTGGCAAAAGCCAGAGTGGGACTTCAAATGACAAAAAATTACGTCCTAAAAAGGACGTAAGGAATACTGCATAACTGATAACTTTGAATAGAGCGAATTTGATGTTGACTCAGAAGAGTATGACCGCGATATCCGACAGGGTGATGATAATGTGGTTGTGATAACCGTCTGCCTAGAAGAATGACGCGTTGCGAGGATGCTGTGCTTGGTACCTCTTTTCCGTGCTCAAGAATATTACAATTATTTATATATTTACCGCACATAAAGACGCGCAAATTTAAATAACTAAAGAAACAGTCATATTTTGATTGTTAATATCTCCATGACGAAATGGCAGTTTTCATGCCAGGGTCACATCAGGCATATGGTGTTTAACTCATTTATCTATAGACCACGTGTGTATACTCAGTGATTCAATGAGTATGATCCGGAGGGTTCAGGCAGGTTCAGTGCGAAGACAATGGCTTGAATCATTACAGAAGTCCACTGTGCGGGGAGTCACCTTTATTTTTGTTCCGGGACACGCAGGCGTCGATGGAAATGAAAGAGCTGACAGGTTGGCTGGATCCGCTATAACTACCGACGGTCAGCCTATGGATCATGCTGATATTATCAATGCCCTCAGAGAAATGGGAAGGATAGACGACTTTGGTGGCAGTGAATCCACATCACTCGCCAGAATGGCAGACTTGGGAATTAAGATCGGCACAGCAAAAAACGAGACGCACACCAGCTACGCCAGAAGACTTGTTAATCAACATAGAACTGGTACTATTAGCCATCGGACGTTGGGGTTCATACTGAGGGGAGGATCTGAGCACCTATGGACATGTCCGGAGTGCAATGAGGATAACCCAACTAACTAACTAACTAACTAACTAACTAACTAAATCTATAGACCAGTTGGCAAGTGGTGGATGATGTGGTCATCACCATCATGCCGGCCGACTTGAATTCCCAGTGCGTTTCCATAGAGATTATAAAATAGTGTTATTTTCTCCCCCTGGCTTTTATATTTCATTTGAGCATAGGCCCTTAATCATGGCGCTCCAAACCTTTGTTAGACATCGGTAACTGGTTATATTTTGCAGCGAAGTCCTAAAAGAAGATTTTCAAGACAGATGGGTGTATCCAACATCGACAGAAAATAAAGTAATATCCTTCTTTCTGTTAGCCTACATGGATACCCTTGAGCAATGTGAAGTATCGTTTAACTGAATACATGCAACAATCATGTGAAACAGTGGAAGCAGTCAAATGATTAGATTTGGGATCAGACGACAGGTAGTCGTTGGTTGTGATTAGGTTTCTGACCCGAGGCAGGTGTTCATCCTATTGTCAAATTGGCTACCGACTCTCACCAGCCAGTATGTAGTCTGCTGACACTGGCTACCACTCTCACCAGCCAGTATAGTGACTGCTGACACTGACTAAAGACTCTCACCAGCCAGTATGGTGACTGCTGACACTGGCTACATACTCTCACCAGCCAGTATAGTGACTGCTGACACTGACTAAAGACTCTCACCAGCCAGTATGGTGACTGCTGACACTGGCTACAGACTTTCACCAGCCAGTATGGTGACTGCTGACACTGGCTACAGACTCTCACCAGCCAGTATGGTGACTGCTGACACTGGATACAGACTTTCACCAGCCAGTATGGTGACTGCTGACACTGGCTACAGACTCTCGCCAGCCAATATGGTGACTGCTGACATTGGCTATAGACTCTCACCAGCCAGTATGGTGACTGCTGACACTGGCTACAGACTCTCACCAGCAAGTATGGTGACTGCTGTCACTGGCTACATACTCTCACCAGCTAGTATGGTGACTGCTGACACTGGCTATAGACTCTCACCAGCTAGTATGGTTACTGCTGACACTGGCTATAGACTCTCACCAGCTAGTATGGTGACTGCTGACACTGGCTACAGACTCTCACCAGCCAGTATGGTGACTGCTGACACTGGCTACATACTCTCACTAGCCAGTATGGTGACTGCTGACACTGGCTACAGACTCTCACCAGCAATTATGGTGACTGCTGTCACTGGCTACAGACTCTCACCAGCTAGTATGGTGGCTGCTGACACTGGCTACAGACTCTCACCAGCTAGTATGGTGACTGCTGACACTGGCTACAGACTCTCACCAGCTAGTATGGTGACTGCTGACACTGGCTACAGACTCTCACCAGCTAGTATGGTGACTGCTGATACTGGCTACAGACTCTCACCAGCTAGTATGGTGACTGTTGACACTGGCTACAGACTCTCACCAGCTAGTATGGTGACTGCCCACACTGGCTACAGACTCTCACCAACTATTATGGTGACTGCTGACACTGGCTACAGATTCTCACCAGCCAGTATGGTGATTGCTGACACTGGCTACCGACTCTCACCAGCTAGTATGGTGACTGCTGACAATGGCTGCAGACTCTCACCAGCCAGTATGGTGACTGCTCACACTGGCTACCAACTCTCACCAGCCAGTATGGTGACTGCTGACACTGTATGACTGCCAAGAAGAAAAACAGTGGGGCCTCCTCTTGACATATACAATTTTACATATAGCCTATTTTTTATGGACATGAATCAGGATTAGGGAAACATACTAAAATCGTAAATTGATTAGAAAAATATTAGATGAAGACAACTGAGATATTTTAGAAACTTGACTCTAAGGGAGTACACTTGGAAGACAGTAATAAATGCGACCACATGGTATAATCGAGAAAAGAACACATGCCTGATTTTAAGTTTAATTATCGTGTAAGATGGCGAACTATACTTCTTCTTTCTTCTTCTGCCTTTCTATCCCCCAATGGAGCATAGGCCCTCAGCCAACTCACGCCAAGTCGTTCTATCCTTTGCAATTGCATGGAGCTCTCCCCATGTCCTCCCCATCTTTCTAACTTCATTCTCCAGCTCTCTTCTCCATGTGTTTTTTGGCCTTCCTTTATTCTTATGCCCCTGTGGGTTCCAATGCAAAAACATTCTAGTTATGCTGTTCTCCTGTTTTCTCAGTGTGTGTCCTATCGGCGAACCATACACATGGTTATAATTCACGTGTTATTCGAGATGAGGCCTGGTCGTTTCCATCTGGCGTGACACACATTCTTAAGAACTTTTAGTTTGCTTTTTTTTTTTACATTTTTTATTTCATACTCTCTAATTTACCATCCATTCTCGTGGTGAGGACACTTAATGACTTTGCATTAAACA